ATACATACATATATATATATATATATATATACATACATATATATAGACGTTTTAAAACCCTTCCCACACTCTTGCAATATTCTAAACAATGTTTCTAAACGTGCTAAAAGAGCACAGAATGTCATGATTTCAGTTCCCTGCCTCCTCTGCCCTTTGCCACCTGCAAGCGTTCTTGGCCACGCCCACTTCTCCGCTCTGCACGTTGAACAGCTGCAGCAGGAAGCTTATCCTGCAGTGTGGGGTGCACACATGTGCAGGAGGTGCTAAATATCTTAAAATAGTTTATTTTAAATAAAAATTCCATGCCCATGTGCGACTCACCCATCAATCAGCCAATTGTGTGTCATGTCCAATCTTATTTTGAAAAACCGTGATAGAGCGAGTCCGAGATAAACGAACCGCGATGTAGCGAGGCACTACTGTACTTATACTGTATATATAGCGGTGGCCACCTTGAATTTTGACGTGGAAACCCAATTTTTGATAGTGACCTTTCTTACGTCGATGCAATGCAGCCACACACCAAAATGGAAATCAGCATGTTGGTTATTTTTAAATTTATCATGCTTGCAAAAAGGCGGACATATATGGTTGCAGCCATCTTGGATTTTGACAAGGCAACTCAATTTCCGTAAGGAAACTGTCTTACTTATGTAGGCACACACCAAAATGGAAGTCAGTATCTCACTTATTTTTCAAGTTATCATGCTCACAACATGCATGAGCGAACCGACGGACAAACAGACAAACGGAGGGTATTTCCAATTCCCCCTATTTGCTATGCAACAGGGGACAATAAACGTGCTGCAATTTTAGAGCTGACTGTATGTGCATGGTGACTACAAAATTAATGGAAGTATCAGGATGATTGGAATAACACGACGAGGTAGATACGTACTGCTGGAGTAATCTGGAGGGGCGTACATGTCGTTCAGATGCACGGGTCCTGGCTTGGCCACCTTGAGGTAAACCATATCGGAGGTGTTCTTCAGTGCAGCTACCGCCTCCTCATGACGCACATCCTGCAGCACGATGTTGTTCACCTGAATAATCAAAAAATTAAATAAAAGAAAATAAATTTGCATCAACACATAAAAGCTGTTTGCCTTTGCTGAGCCGTGACAACATCACAAAGTCCTCACACCAGCCAACACAATAATGATTCATAGCTCAGTACGTTTTAACTGCAGAGAGAATTTTTTTTTTGTGGCATTACCAGAGGTCAAGATCAAAAGGTAGACGCTTTCAAAGTGTGTAGACTTTTTTTTGTTGTGTTCACTTTTCTTATAATTTGTCATCAGATAAAAAAAATAAATAAACACCACATAGTTCAGTAGTTAGGACGCATCGAAGCTTTATGTTCTTACTCAGTGGTGTAATAAAGAACAGCACATCTATGCCAAAAAACAGGTTTTGATATATAAACCTAATTTTAAAAGTGGGTATAATATAGTGACCAAATTAGCAGATATTGGCAACTTTTACAATTACTGGCAGTCAGCAATGTTTGTGCATTTTAATAATTTACCAAGCAGGAAAATGAAGATGCAGCTGCAGCTACTGCTGCTTAATATAACCCCCAAATTTTACATTTTTAAGGAGGAACTGCTCTTCTTTAACTTTAAGTGTGCAAGTTTTTCTTAGGACTGTTAAATGTATATTTATTTCAGCTAAGCATTTACTCTTATATTTCTCTCATTATCTAGAATTTGTGTTTTTTGGTCGTGTTTTTCTTAAGACAATATAAGACAATATTTTGTATTTAGCGTGTTTACAGTTTGCCAGGTTCTCCATGAGTCACTGACCCATGGATCTCTGTGATCCTTGGCTTTTGGTAATTTACAACCTGTCTCACATCTGCTAATTAGCCCAGCTGCAATCACTCAACGATCACTAGGCCTGCCGCGATAAACAATAAATCAATTAATCGCATGATAAATGAAAATTATCGACCTCCTTTTCATTTATCGTCTTTATCACTTCTTCATGTCTCTCTCTTTCTACTGAAGATACTGGATGACAAAAGCTCAACTCTGGTACTCTTCACTGACTCATCCTTTTCTCTTTAAAATCTGTTTTAACCGTCAAAAATCAAGTTTTTGGATCGTTAAAAGCAGCTAAGCTGAGAAGCTAAGCTACGAGCTAAGTTAACAGGTCGACCTCGGGAAAAAACCTCGGTCTTGTCAAAGCTCCAAAATTCCGAGCGTCCGCCATTGTGAGAACCAAAAAACAAGAACGAGAGACAACCTTTGTCATGTCAAAAGGCCTCCCTCCCATTTTCTTCAAGAGACACGCTGCTCGCTCCCTCACTATCCATCCTTCATTTCAAACAGTCTTATACTGCCATCTAGTGGTCAAAAATGGTACTACACACAAACATTAACCAACATTTCTTCTTAAATTTGACATTACTAATTATTGTCAAGTTTCAAATATTATTGTTTATCGCATAATTTCTGAGACAATTAATCGCCCAGCAAAATTTGTTATCGTGACAGGCCTAGCGATCACTCCTCAGCATATTCATAGCCGCTGTTTTCTCGCAGTCATTGCTAAGTTCTAGTGCTGCACATGCTTTTTGTTCATTGTTTATTTTGGTTACCAGCTCCTTGTTTAGTTCATGCTCTTCACAAATCTTCTGTTTGCTGCCTGAACTCATTTATTATTAAACAACTTAAATTTTTTTTGTTCCAATTTGACCTCTGTCATTTTTAGGGTCAACCACTCTGCACAACATGACATGTATTTAAATAAAAAATGCACATCAGCCAAAAATAAGACATCAGTCTTGTATCTCTGCCATGGATTGCATTGATTTATAAAGATCTGCAACAGCTACATAAAAACACCCTAGTTCGACCTCTAGTTTATACCATGTCTTTAAACACACTTTGAACGCTCAAAAGTTTTTGTAATACTATAAAAACAAAGTTTAACTTTCCAACAAATATAAAGACTTGATTTTATTTAGATTTAAATTGCAGCAATGTATCTGTATGAACGTGAGGTGCAGGCTCACAGCTAGCAGGCGGTCTCCAGTCTGCAGACGTCCATCTTTCTGGGCAGCTCCTCCTTCTATGATCTTGGTAATATAGATGCTATTATCTCCTGGAATATGCTGATTCCCAATCCCTCCAGCAATACTAAATCCCAGTCCTGAAAGAATAACACACAATCATACAGTCATCACAAAATCATGTACGTAGTCAACCTAAATACATGCTCCAACAAAGTTTGCACAAAGAAACCACCAGAGGACCTGACTTACCTTTGTTGGATTTTTACCTGGATTATTGAGCATGAACTTTGATCTTAATACAGACTGTTTTGAAATTAGTTATTCCACATCGATGAATGTATTTAAAATCTTAACAAGAGAATCAGTTTTGCAATCTTCTGAAAGCATGAATGTGTGACAATGAAGGTTTTTATTTTCTCTATAAGTTTTCTTACCTTTGGGCCCTTTGAGCAGGTTAACCTCCAGAATTGTTTCAGGTGGGGCCTGCCTCCGTCGAACCAGCAGCCGAACCACAGGCCCCGCCTCCTTAAGAGCTTCCACTGCTCGGCTGTGAACCACCTCGGAAACATCGACATCGTTCACACGCAGTACGCAATCGTTAACCCTGAGGAAAGTTCAAATATACAACAAACACAACACTATGTTTAGTATACAAAGGCAAGGAGACCCAACAAGAGCCAAGATAATCAGAAATCTTTAGGAAAAGCACTGCATAACATAATTTTTTTGCATGTTTCAGGCTTTGGTTTTGCAGTGAATCATAACTGTGGAAGCACACAGAGCCGGGAGACAGAGAGCTGAAGAAACTCTGCCTCCCACACAGCCCTGCCTGGCGGGACACAGTGTTGGTGAGAGCTAAAGATGAGAGTAGAGAGGTTAAAGCAGAAGGAGGACGGAGAGTGCAGTTGAACTTGAAAAGAGCAACAACAACAACGAAAAAGTGAACGAGGTGAGATAGAGGGGAGCGCTGTGGAAGAGACAAACTTACCCCAGCCGTCCATCCATAGCAGCTGCTCCTCCAGGGATTATCTTGGTGATGAAAATCCCTGGATCATCAGGAATGTGGGGATTGTCTATTCCTCCAGCAATGCTAAAGCCCAGGCCAGAGTTACCCTGAACACAGATTATGACGAGCATTTGCATTAGGGTACAAGAAAAGCACATACATGCATTCATTTAGAAGTAGTGCATTGTATCACACAACAGAAGCAAACTGCTGTATTGGTTTCTGAAGGGATTTCTGATGTTTACTTTTGGATGCACAATCATATAAGAATATTGCTTATGTGCAGTGGTGGACAGTTACAGAGTACATGTACTTGAGTACTGTACTTATGTAAGTACATTTTCTGAGTATCTTTACTTTACTTGAGTATTTTATTTTTTTGGAACTTAGGACTTTCACTCCACTACATTTCAAAGACAAATATTGTACTTTCGACTTAACTACATTTCTAGGAATCTTCTTGTTACTCGTTCCTTTTGGCTCAGTTTTGTAATCCACTGTTGCTGTTTTTCTTTCCTTAAATGCAGTTGGTCAGTTGTTAATTCAGGTATTATTTTAGATTCATGTGTGCAGAACATTCATTGTTTTGTAAGCTTCTACGTTAAGTATGGCAGAACTTTCATTTATCAGTGTTACTGTTTCCTCTCCTGTGTTAAGTTCTGTCAATCTATGCACTTTTACAGACAAACAATGTGGTGCATGAATACTGAAGCTGAAGAAAAGACTAAATGTGCATCATCTGTTAGGATTTCCATGACGTTCCACAAACATGTAAAATGCAGGGAAGAGATTATTTGTAGTTTACAGGTTTTATGCTGTTAGAGTGGTTCTACATGTCGATACATCATCAGGTGGTTTCAGAATTACAAGGTTCTGTAAAATAACTCAAAACAATACAGCAATGTACTGATATTAGAAAATATAATATGTACTTTTAGATACTTGAGTATTTTTTAAATTCATGTACTTCTGAATACTTAAATATTTTCAAAAGTAAGTACTTTAGTACTTTAACTTGAGTAAACTTTTGACTGAGCAACATTTACTTGTAGTTGAGTAAGATTTGACCATGAGTATCAATACTTTTACTTAAGTACTAGAAATGAGTACTTTGTCCACCACTGCTCATGTGCCACACATGCTTTATCAACCTATGGAGTTTTAGAAATGCCCAGTGTCCATTAGATAGGGACCAGGAAAGCTGGCCTCCCATTTTCTGCAGCACATAGACACCGCCATTTCTTTCTCATCCCAAAAATTACACAAGTCCCATTTGAATCCAGTGGGTTCAGGCACACTGCTGCATCTGACAGTCTTCGCTGCAGAGACAGGCAGTAAACAAGACAGCTGAGAAAAGACTTCACTTCATTATTTTCTATAATTAATGAATGGCGGTCGCAACAGATTAGGACAGTAGGAGGCTGAGGTCTTCCAGCATGCTGCTCCAGAGCAGAGAGGAGTCTGTACTGGGCCTCACCACCAAATGTTACACACCCACAGACATTTTAAAGTGAGACTTGGCATAGTTTATTTAAGCTTTCCGGGTGCAGAAATGCCACTTAGAGTGAAAAAGACATAGATATACTGTACATCCATCTAGAGTTTGGAGGTGCATCAGCATGTAGGTGGAATAATAAAAAGAGCATATAGCTCCCCCACTAGAAGCTAAACCACTACTGCCAAGTGCAGCGGTGCCTGCTGAACAATCGAACTGGAGAGCACTTTACATTTCTGGCGTCTGCTGAGGACATGTGCTTCGGATTACGTAAAAGCCGTGCATCACTGGAATTGTACTTCTTTACATCGCATATAAGACTATTTTGATGCAATTATTTTAAAGCTATAAATTAAACCTTTAAGCCCATGATTCTTCTAAATTTAAAGAAATAAATAACTGACTGTTATTTACACTCTTTAGGCTCAATTAGAAAAGAAAGAGCTTCTTGCTACCACCTAGTGGGTAGAAATCCATCATGCAGACATTATAAAGAGACTGGCAGAGCTTACCCTCTCTAAAATGATCTCTTCATATTTATACATGCCATCACTGCCATTTACCTGTCAAAAAACACACATGTTAGCAATGTCATTTTGCAAAAATATTTCTTAAAAAAGAAAAAGAAAAAAAGCTACACCCCTAACTGTAAACAACCATATACATATAAACAGACCACTGATGAATTTAGGATTATTTATTAAATTTAAATTACACTATTTTTTGCATGCAATTTTTTTTATTTTTTTGTTTAACCAAATTTATAATATTTCTTAATAAAAAGGCACATTGTATACTAATATTCAGGGCAAAAAGGATAAGAAATGTGTGTACACATGGTAAAAAGCCTCTTACAACCAAAAGGAGGCCTTTTCACGTGCATCTACACGCAAACATACAAACACGTCTTTGCAGCAGAGGAAGTGGGAATAAAAAAGGATCCATACTGTACAGACAGCGAGAGCAGATACTTACATAAGGGCCTGCGTCTAGTGAGTCTGCGTTGACAATGATGGGGGGAGGGTTGGCCTGCGAATACGAAGAGACGCACATTAGTTCAACGTGTGAGGCTGGCAGCGCACAGGCGTAATCAAGTATACACAGTATTGCCTGGGAGCAGAAGATGCCATAGGAACAGCCAGTGAGTCTCCGTGGGATGGAGAATGTGGGAAGGGACGAGTCGGAGGGGGTGTTGAAAGGTGTGAGGATCGAGAATGAGGACTGGGGCAGAGAGACCGCCGCTTATTAACCGCCACAGCCAGACATCCTACAGTCACCTCATAAAACAAACCAGCTTGCGTTTCAGCTGTTGAGACAACACTTTTATCCCACGTCGAGTTTCACTTTACACCATGTAGTATCACATAGAAAATGCACAATTTTATCATTTATTGACCATGTACCATAAATTTTGCTGTATAAGTCGAAGTTTTTTTGCATAAATTAGCATGCCTGCTACTTATACAGCAAAGCAATGTATTTATGTTTTTTCCTCATATTTATAAACCAATTTTTGGCTGAGATCTGATGATTTCATTTATTCTGACATGGACAATATTGAACACTAAAAATTTAAATCACTAGAGGGCCCTCGAGCATTATGGCAAGCCAAGTGTCTCACTAATAGGTAAAAGTGGCGATTAATGAGACACTTGGCTTGCCATACCAAGCCACCTTCGTCTTGCTCCTGAACTCCTGGAGCAAACGTCAAATCAGCTGCATTTTGCCGCGCTGCACAGGCAAAATACAGCTGATTCAAGGGCGTCAGAAGCATCCGTAATGTGGGGGGGACACCATAATGTGTGTAGGTGTGCGGCGCTCGTTAAAAAAGGTGTTCACTAGTGAACAAAAAAGCAGCATTTCACCTAGATTTCCTTTAATTCCACACATTTAAAACATGTTTCTCACCAAGTTTGTGTAAATTCAGCTGTGGGTTTAAAGTAATTTTAACTTTAATACACTTTAATACAGAGCATCAGGTCGGCACTATTTGTGTTTATTGTGAAATTAAAAAAACATCACCACTAGACTTTTTTACTTGTGTTCAACACTCCTCATCTAAATGATGTTTCTCATGAAGCTTGAGGACAATAAGGTGTGAGGTTTTGAAGACATTTCAACGTTAATGCACCTGAACACACAGCGTCTCTTACACCTGCAGAGTCTTACAGCATCACAGTTACTGCTAAGCTAACATGCTACAGACGTAGCACTCCACTTCTCTCCTCCTAACATGTATACATTTTTATGACCCCCCCCCCCCCCCCCCGTCAACAACTGCCCACACAAAGCTCGCTAAACTGGTGAGCGAGTAACACAGAGGTGTCTCCACCTCTTCCACCTGTGCGCGTTTTCTGCCGAGGCAGGAGGAGACGCACAGAAACACTGCCGGTGTTACACCATATTCTGTGACCACCGTATATTGTGACCGTGGCAACAGGCTGCTGTGTTTAGAGTTGGACCAGGAAACCTGGAGTGGAACTTTAGTGGCTTGAGTATTCTCCTATTAATCAAGTGTTGTTCACGAAGAAAGAGAAACTGCGCCACCTGAACTAATGGTTTATAGTAAAATGGG